AAAAAATTATTAGGAAAATAAGATTGAAACAAGAAACGAACTTTTTCTATAGTGAGAAGCGCTAAGTGCCTACTTGCATAGAAATCAAGATCCATTACCAAATAACACACGTTCCTCACACTTTTGCATATTTCTTGCTTAAAATTGGACAACATATCCGAAACTAACATTGGCCACAACGGTGTGCTAAGTTTTAGCCATTGGTATGGTTTTGGTGACGAACAGACCCAGTTTCGTTCGATATATGTATATCTATGGACATAACCAAGTAAAAATTAAAAAATCGTCCATATAAACCTTCATTAATTCAGTAACTGAATGAATATCCTGAACTTCAAGAAAGTGTGAGCAGGACTTTCACGGCAGGAAAAATAGGCTTATTGGACATAATTTTCTAATAGAAAAGCTCAATGAGCAGACATATCTAGACTTTTCCGTTAACAATATTTATCCAATTTTTGTTATAAAAATAAAAGATGGCAAAATGTTCTGGATTACAATTCCAGTTCGTCAGTGACTAAATAAACATTTATCAGGGCAACATATGGATGCCTAAATAATCTGACTTCACACAACTTGCTTCATTTTGTGGGTACACTTAGAGACTGTACATGTACTCACGCATCGTATTGTTTAATAATTTCAAATAATTTTTTTTGAAATGTTTAATCGTGTTCGGTCAAACATTTGAAAATTTGCTGGGATAAAATGGAATGCATATTCTAAACAACCAATTAAATCGTCTGTCATTAAGTGCATTTTTACCACATTACAGGAGAAAATTAAACGATGTACCAACAGAATTCTGCCATTTTTTGCAGAATGGGCATGGCAGATTTAGACAAAAGTGCGCTTATTTGCCACCAAAGCCGTGTAAGCCATTTGTCGGCATTTATTTCATAAAAACCCTCTCTTATGTAGTTTATGATCCAACCAAGACAATCTAAACACTAAAATAATTGTTTCATATTTACTTCAAATCTTGCGTTTGCGTCCTATTTAATTCAAACCTAGATTTCTCATGTTCATTAAAATTCAGAAAGACGAAATTTCTGACCTTCTTTTTACACCCTACCTCTTGGAATGTCTGGGCAAATTATGTATCAGGCGTTAAAACCTGGTCAATAGTCTTTTAACTCGCAGTGGCATAGAAGTAAAAACAGGAAAGCGTAAAAATTGAATAGTTTATAATCTGGAATCGGTCAACGGTATCTTACTAGGCTTTCGGACAATTTCGATAGGACTCTTCTTTCGCATGTATCATGCATATAAGAACAACTCCGACATTTGAGCAATTTGTACTCCTGCTTTTCCACCGATAGTTAAGAAAAGCTTGAAATTAGCTGAATAACTATTAGGGCCTTTTCTTTAAACAATCTCAAGAACTGTATTTTGTTGATTCACGCTTATCAGAAATTACTACCTTCGAAACTGTATGCCGCCACATAATATTTATTATCTTCAACTACCTAAATTATTTCTGTAAATATCGAGATCTGAGTAGAGTATATTTTGGCTTTCAGGACGCAAAAGAAAGATTTTATAAAAAGCACATTCGGAATCGACTTTTAAATATTAAAAAGTTGAAAGTTCTGTATTCTCTATAGGGAATCATCGGGGAGTGGTTTTTTTCAGAAGGATACACTTTGATGAAAGGTTGGAAATAATAATAAATGTATTCAGTTTTTGTGCACCATTTTTTTAGAACGGTTTTTTTTTCAACAAAATGATGATCCATAAAATACAATATGCATTAAATATATTTATTTAAGTAAAATTAAATTTAAAACAGCATATATAATAATTGAGGTTGTTAAAATAGTTCGAGGCTGACTTGTATTCAACTTTATTTTTTTGCTCAAACCACAGATATGTCTTAATTCAAGCTTTTTTAAAGTAAATTTTAATATAAACTATTTTCCTGATATTCAGTCAATTGGATAAAAAAATACTGAAGCCCTGGAAAATAGTTTGTAGGTATTAGAATTGGAAATACAGCCAGGAAAACTTACATGTTTAAAATTAATATTTTTAATTTACAGTTTCAGAGATAACTTTGGTTAGATGTCTTGTTTTCTTGCTAAGAATATTTATTTTTTTCAGCTACTCCACCAGCACAGAGAGTTCAGTTTATTCTTGGGGAAGATCTAGGAGATGATAAACATGAAAGCCATCCACTTTTCTCTGAAATGGAAGAATTGTGCGTTGATGGAGAGGACATGGAATGGAAGGAAACTGCTAGATGGATTAAGTTTGAAGAAGATGTGGAGGAAGGTAACGAATATTACTGAATTCATTGAACTATAAAGTTTAACTATTACAGAAGTTCCTATTAATGTCACGCAAATTAAATTGTTTAATTTTTATTTAGTTTATTGTTTATTAACATTATTGTCAATTCTCTAGAAAAAAATACTGTCTAAAAAAATCGGAGATTTTTCGTCGCCCTGTATGCCGAGTAGCAATTATTTCGTGCAAAAGGAAGTAAACATAGAATTTATTATTGATAGCAGCAAGAAACAAAAACGATAGTCTAAATATTGTTATTTCGGTCACCTTTTTCAAAGTATTATATTATTTTCTTTCCTGGGTTTCAGTCAAAGTATGAAATAAAAAAATTTATATTGTTTATTTCATAACATTGCGGCGGGACAACAGATATATTCTCTTCAGATAAAAAAAAATATTTCACACTTTGACTGAAACCCAGGAAGGAAAAGCAGATATCTAATAACAATTGCACGCAGTCAGGAAAATAAATCAAAATTTTAAAAAGTATCGCAAGCAGTTATGTCTTCATTGCTACTAAGTTTTTCGTGAAAAGAAGAAGTTTAAGTGAAATTCTTTTAAAGCAGTTTTCATGTCCGCAATATATTTCAAATACCACTTTGGAAACAATTCCCTACAGGGCGTGATTTGAGTACCATTCAAGCAGCGTTGGTTTTTCTTTCCATTTCTGTGCTGCTGATGGAAATATATTTTTTTAACATTTTCAATGCTGCGTCAGAACTGTGAAGGTTTTTTCACATTTGCCAAGGAGAGATTGGTCTGCTATCTTCTAAAAGTAGTGCTAATTGATTAAAAATACGGTAAATGTAATACTTCAAATGGGCGGTTCCTCAATTTTTGGTTGCCCGAAACAGGTATTAGTCTGCTAATCTCTGCCTGAACCCAAACGTGTCGTATTCGTCCAGTTCAAACAATCGAAACCCATAAATCACTGTTGAAACGTTTCACTACAGGATATCAGAATATTAGACATCCTTCAAATGTTCTTCCTTCTTCTATTTCTCATTTCTGCGCTCCTAATGGATATAACTTGAAAGCATGCTGTTTTTTTCAAACTGAGTGCAAGAGAAGCAAAAAAAGTTTTACAAAATTTGTCAATCACGCTACTGGCTGCTTTCAAATTGCCAGTAGCCCATTTTTTATCACTATTCTCCCAGTGGCGTATTTGCGATTATGGTCTCTAAAAAATTGTTCGTCCGAAATTACATTTGAGAGAAGTTATTCGAGCTAGAGGCGGCAATACACGCTATTGAAAAGGTTAAAGACGGAAACTTTGCCTGAGTTTTAAAATTAATTTTTTATCAAATTTTCCCAAAAATCTGATAAATTGGTGCGTGAATGTTTTGCTTATATTTTTTTGCTTCGAAAACATTCTCATATTAATTCAAAGAATTATTTCAGTTTTGATAAAAGTATGTTGGGTTTATAATATTTTTTCTTTGAAATTTCTAGATGATGCGTTAAGTTTGTCCATCAGTGTATTTAAATGTATGCTGGCTACTTAACTGACATGCTCTATATAAAAAACAAAAATGTGTTCCTTTATAATGTACTTTTCACCTAATATGTACTACTATAAGGTGTTCCAATAAGAACGCCGGGTTTCAGTTTTAAATACATGTACACTTATGGCATAATTTGTAAAAAATTATTGAATATTGAAATACACATCGTCAGATTATGAATGGAATACTAAATCTAACCATTACAAACGGCCAATGCCGACCTCCAACACGGGACATAACACAATAATTTGACTCGTGCAGTTTTAACAGTTTCTCTGGACATATAATGCCGTCAGCCCACAATCCACACTAAACAGGGGCCAGTTTCGAGTGCATCTATCTGTTCCTCAACAATCATAAAGATTTTTGTTAATCAATCATCCTTCAATTGTCGTCACAAAAACACAGAAACAATTGCTCTTCATTATTCATGGTGGTGTGGCTTTACCTCTTCAGCGAATTTAAATTTATACGCATAAAGTTTCAAAACTTTTGTTAACATTTGGTGCATACTGGTCGAAAAATTTACTCCTGAGCTCTATGCTGACTTGAGCAGTTGGGCGTTCCTTAACTTTTTCCCGCACTGTTGCATTATTTTCAGTCAAGCAGACCATAGAAAAAGACTGATTGAAGCAGACAAGATGAAACTTTCTTTCTGTACTCAGTTTGCTCAAATTTGTTTATCAATCTGCTCATAGTGGCTTGATTTGGAGGATTGTAGTATCCATTATTGTACACATTTGGTGAACTATGGCTACAAAACTTTCATCTTTTTGATAATATTTTTTACAATGAAAATTAGTTGTGGTTTTGTTTTTTATTTTTTCATGTATCAGGTCTTGAAGTTTTATGAATGATTTGTGATATGATGACCCGCACTTCTTATAAACTGAAGCAAAAATCTTCGAATTATTTAATAAAATCGAATTTACTAAGTGAAATATTTTAAAATTATTCTAAAGGTGGAAACAGATGGTCAAAGCCCCATGTGGCTACTCTTTCTCTTCACTCCCTATTTGAACTGAGAAGCCTCCTACTTAACGGATCGGTCATCTTGGATATGGAGGCTGCATCCATAGAACAAATTGTAGATCTAGTAGTCGACAGTATGGTGAGCAATAACAGGTGAGCAGTTAATTTTTGGCAGTTAGTTAAATTGCTATAAGTATCCTCTTCTCGTTCGGGAGTCGTGTTCTATGCCGCACGTTACGTTGGTATCATTTGTCGTGCCCGTTTCATAAATGTAAAATATGTGAATTATGTTTTATATTTTAGATTGGAATCGAGCAAAGAGGAAATAGTTAAAAACGCTTTGCTCAAGAAACACCGACATCAACACCAGAGACAGAAGCACGGACTGCCCTTCATCAGATCCTTGCATGAAATAGGAAAAAATCATTCAACTGCTAAAAGTAAGTTTGTTCTTGTTATTATTAATCGTAGGTAGTTGGAGTTGAAGATAATACGAACTTTAAGATTAGTAAAACACTTGTAGTTGTGACACTTGTTTTTCTACATTACCAAAAATAAAAAAGCCAATTCCATAATGATATTCCGCTTTTTCCCATAGCTTTATAGGATAATTTCAGATTGAACAAAATGTGGGGAGTTACAAATTTGTCATTTATTACAATACAGTCTCATATCCGACAAATTGTACATGTTACAAACACTTTGTTGATCTGACCGTACCTACATGTAATTTGCTTTTCTAACAGTACTAAAATTTGTCGTAGCGGATTATACAGAACATGTGCAAGGATTCACTACGTGGTTGACTTTGCGAGATCCTGCAAAAGGTATACTTTCACGGATTGCCGTTTATCTTCAATGCGATTTTCTTTCAGTTCTTCCTGATAACTATGTTAATGAGCATGTTTCTCGTGAGTCCTGAAATATAATTTTGCACTAAACATTTCCGTGCAAAATGTTGATGTTGACTCTCATGCAGTTTCAGAGCACGTCTACTATTCTTCCTATCAGACTACTAATATTTGATTATTTATAGGAGGCACGCAGTCAGCATAAATAATCAGTCTGCCAAATAATTTGCTGTTTAAATATATTTAAGTCATCAGCAATCGTTTTGTTTTAAAGTCAATTTTTTTCAACTTTTCAGTGGAAGATCATGTGTTTCATGAGCAATCGTCCGCTAAATCACAGGATTTGGGAAAATTCCTAAACGTCCCTGGACAGGGTAAAAGCTCTTTAAAAAAGGATTGTTTGAATTTGTATGTTTAGAAAATGTAGTAACCGTTTCATAATTTAAAAACAGAGCATTACATATTACTGGGTTAGGTTGGTACATTAAAGGTAAACTTTTTAAATAATGAGGAAATCACTCAACCATGTTTTCTACCAGTATTTTCTCATTTTCAAATTCAAGTCGCCGTTTTACCCGATACACAAATTCGTCAATTTTTTTGAAACTGCGTTTTTTTGTTACTACATATTTAACAAAAGATTTTTAATTTATCAACAATTTCACACAACACTTTTAAAAAACATTTAAACCGGTTAGTAAGTATGAAAGTAAGAAACTTTGAACTCAGCAAAAGTCAGGTGCGCCCCATTTTTTGGAATTGAGTACTAATTCAAAAGCACTTTTCTTTCTTCATTAAGACACTCAAGACTTTACCAGAATATCAAGCTTATTGTGAGTAGGTACTTTTTAATGAGCATTTTCTCTCTGTCCCGAAATAGAAGCGCCATAACTAAGTTGGTTCTAAGACACTTCCAATACTTTCATCCAGTAAACGTTGAGTACTTTAAAGGTTTCCAAGCATTAAAAGCGTTAATAAATATTTAATTATCTGATTTTTCTTCAGCTAAAACCTAATGAATATGTTTGAATGAACTTTCTATGATTTGAAGTATCGGTAGATCCGTTGACTGGATTTTTTCCTTCTGAGAAGGAAAAAATCTCTGGAAGAATCTTCTGGAAGATTGTAAATCTGAAACCGTCGTCATATCCACGTTCTTAGTATCAATTGCAAATATGAACATTGTTAAATAACCACTTCGATAAACTTATGTAATCGTTACAGAAAAAATAAAATTAGGTGAGCTACGAGGAATGTTGCTAATGCAATAGGGTAGAATGATCTTGCCATTGGTTTAGAAAATTATTGTAAGTTGAAAGTCTTTCATGTACCAACCATATAAAATTTGTTGTTTCTATACCCGACCCATTACGTAAATTCTTAGTATTTCTTTAGTTAACCCAAACTTTCTATTACATAAAACGTCTTTCTACATTTGCATCTCTTTTGTTGCCGTTTCTCTCCTTATGCAGTCGTCAATAAAATTCGAATTTTATTTATCCAATATTGAATCGGAAATAGTTCAACTTCGATGCCTTGAATCACGGCTTACTCCAACTAAATTATATTCATATTTTAATAGTTGAGTATGTAGAATTGATTGTTCGATGAACTTAGCACATGCCTGCATTAATTTTCTGCTCATTTTTTATGTGTTCTTTCTTGCACGCACGCTTTATTTGGTATTACTATTGTTATGCTTCATATTTTAGTGGAATATTTGGAAAATCCAGGTAATGATTGCTTTGCATTAAAATTTGAAGAAAAATCGTGAAATTTCGTGAGAGTTTTGTACTTTTTGTACGTAGAGAGCAAAGCTAGTGGGGCAAGGACCTATAGCATTTTTTTAGAAAACTCAATAACAAGAACAACTGATAAACAGGGGGGCTAAAGACTAAAAAAAAATCGAGTTTGGGAAAAATATTGAAAATATTCATTTGGAGGAATAACAAAAAGTTTGTAGCAAATTCGTACGCCCATGACGTCATCACTAGTATGAGGAATTAATTTGCGAACAACAGACCGATTTACAGAAAAGATAAAATACTTCTTGACGAGAATAAATAAAGCAGTCTAAAAAATGTAAAAATCTTTGAAAGCATAACGGAAACGCATGTGAACAGATTTTTGTTCTAAAGTCTTTAGACATCTGTTTTTGCCCGTGTTACCTATGAAGCAGCAGATATTCATGTAATGTTAATGAGGCAGATTCCCTTGACAAATATTTTTGCCGAATTTCTCATATAGATTCTTGCAAATATCTCGGGTTTTCATAAGAATTACTTTTTGTAGTTTTAACACTGCGGCTAGAGCTTGCCAGTAGAAACGTGCGGACAAAAATGTCTGAATATTTATTTCAGGATTAATTTTAGTTGATTTACTTCTTCGTCGGTAAAACAAATTGAAAAATTCGCCCCTCTACTAAATTGCCTTGTCTCTCCAAATATTCCAATAACACATTGAAAAGTGCCCACATATTTTACTTCCCAAAAACGTTTCGGAAATGGTTTGCAGGTTTTTACTATAAAAATTACGATAGTTTTTAACGTTAAAATAAAATCGTCTTTTTAGGTCGTCAAAAACGCGTACAACGAAGATAATCTGTTCTATATTAGTGACAAATTGTGCTTTTATGTGAGTTTCTGATTAGTTATTTTGCATAACCTGACAATATTGGGTTTCCTTTCTGGGTTTCAGTTAAAGTGTGAAATAAAATTTTTCATATCGTTTATGTCATATAACGTTTCGGCGAGACAACCGCGCCATCATCAGATTTAAAATTCACCACAATCCCATAATTCGAGAACATTAGATGAACCTTACGTTTGCTTCGTTGTGAATCAAAATTTGTGAAGCAAAAAAGAAACAAATGTGAGGCTTCAAGACAGCCAAAGCCTAAAAGAATCTAATGTTTCCTAATGAGGGGTTTGTGTTGAATTTTAAATCTGATGATGGCGCTGTTGTCTCGCCGAAACGTTATATGAAATAAACGATATGAACATTAAAATTTATTTCACACTTTGACTGAAACCCAGAAATGAAATAAATATAATAACAATTACCCGCAGTCAGGAAAATAATTCTAAATAATACAATTCAAGTTTTATATCCTAATTAATATATAAAATCCTAATTAGTTAATAAAGGAAATAATATTTAGTTAATAAAGGAAATTTAATTAGGAATAAGTTATTCCTAATTAAAATATAAAATCAGTACGACTGGCAACGTTGTATCCTTCTACCTTAAGATCACATTGTTTAGCAAGTATTTTAGATTTCGAAAGGAATTAGTGCTTAACGATTTTTCAAATTTTTAACACTTTTCTTAACTGACCTAAGAGAAATAACGTTAATTTCATATCACCCTAACATATCAAAAATGATTTTACAAAATGCAGGTTGGAGCATCAAGCCTAAAGCTATATTTATAGTTAATTAATGAAAGAGTTGTGCACTGCTAATGATTTTTGCTGTTATATCTATGTCTAGCATGTTCTGAAACAATTGTTCCATAGCGTTATGAGAATGGGTTGCAATTTAAAAATCAATAAGTGTGCGAACCTACTTTAAAACATTTTAACTCATTATCTCATTTTTCATTTTCTGTTTTTTACACAGGACAAGAAAGAGCTTTGCGTCTTTTGAAAAGCTCAAGCAACGTTTCGATCAGTAGAGTCAATAGCGGCACGGATCTGATGAATGATTGGCCACAGCACAATTTATCCTTTATGAGGAAAATTCCACCAGGAGCTGAAGCTAGCAATATTCTTGTTGGAGAAGTGGAATTTCTGGATAAACCACTATCAGCTTTTATACGACTGAATCAGGCTCACATTTTGGGTGACTTAACTGAAGTACCGGTACCAACTAGGTTTTTGTTTCTATTACTGGTCCCTACTTCCTCTAATTTAGGTATGCGCAATTTTTTAAAATAGTAATGATTCATCAATATATTGTATAATTTGGTTTTATTAGGGTACCACGAAATTGGCAGAGCGATGGCAACTTTAATGTCAGACGAAGTATTCCATGAAGTAGCTTACAGAGCCAAGAAGACAAGTCATTTGTTGGCTGGTGTGGATGAATTCTTAGACGCGGTAAGTTTAAAAATATATTTTCTATTATAGCTAACGAACCCAAGTAAAATACTGCTTTGAGCGCGCATACACAGGGTTTCCTGTAAACCTTCGAAAACATTTTGTATGATCAAAGGTTCAAAGACCTCAAGACAAGTCAGGAAATGCAAAAAATGGCATTTTGTTCGTTAAGCAATTGATTGAGTGTCTAAGTTATAGATTTTAAATCTTGGGTATGATTCATGCTTTGATTCCAATATTTATTAATTGTATTAACGCTAACTCTAGGGTTATTATTATACCGATTCAATTTATTGATTGACTTTTCTACTTTCTTGTTGTGTGCGAAAACTTTTTGTACGTGGATTAGTCAAGATTTTTAAATACGTAGATATTCATATATTTGCATGCATATGACATGTATCGAAAAAGTTGCAAGATGGTATTTGTAGGTCACTGTTCTACCACCCGGAGAATGGGATCCAGCGATCAGAATTGAACCTCCAGCGGCGATCCCATCGCAGGATGTTAGGAAAAGGCCGCCAGAAAAGGTCCCAGAAGAAGTTGATGAAGAAGAAGAGGAGCAGAAACTAAGGTAAGTCAGTAAAAGGGAGTTGAATTAATATGGAATATGGAATGCAAAACATTCAATAATATAGCAAAATCATATATTGGGCTGATTGTTGCTAAATAAACTATTTAATAAAAAAATACTTTTATAGATAAATGCAGGCCGCCCAAGGTACATTTTAAAATTATTTCCTCATGTGCTCCAACTACTACCAACACTTTGAATATTATTAGTGTGTATAATCGAAATAAATGTGAGTTCTATCATGTGCATCTTACTTAAATCTTACGGTTTCTGAGATACATATTTGGAGTTTTGTGAAAACCAAGACCATTATTAAGTTAAAATTCTCAATGCCGATTGCGAATTTCGAAACCAAATTCTTCCATGCGGCTGCTAATAGATGCAGTTCTGTGACAAAATAAAAATGAGACATACAGTGTCTTAAAATTGTCTATTTACTAGGTACTATAAAGATATCGCATGCCTAAGTCTTCAGGTTTTCTTGGAAATCGTATACTTTCAAGATTCATGCCGATATTATCGAGAAATCGCTTATCTGCAATCTTGCTTTGTTAGAATTTTTTTTTTATTAAAACACACATAAGAATGCTCTAAATGTTAACTCTAAAGCAGCACTAATTGAAACGAGTTTTATTCTGGGAAAATGTCTTTAAAACTGTTTATTAGTATCTCGCATGCTGCGCAAATTTTTGCTGCTATAATTAACTGTTAGTTTTAATAATTCCGCAAAAATTAAATGCCATATTTTTTTCTATACAGAACAGATAAATATATTTTTTTTACTTTTTACTTCTTTACATTATTTGTCTGAAGATTCTCCTACTCGCGTACGGTTTGCCAATTTTTCCCAACCAATAATTTCCCAAAGGTACATTTAAGGTAATGTGATATCGAACATACGCGACAATTTACGACAGACCGCTCAAGAAAGGCCTGATTCTTAATCAAAGTCCGCGTTTCTTACGCTTATTCCATAAAAATCATCAGGGGGTTGTCACATATCCGAAATCAAAATTTTGTACAGGAAAAAAAGACATTTTTTACAAACTTCTTTTTGGGTATTTTGCCTAAAAAATGTTTGTCTTTAAAAAAGACAGAATTTCCTGATGTCTTTTATTACAGATTGATAGATAGTGCTCCCATTTCGTTATGGAATTTATTTTATTTCCCATTTTGGAATTTTCTCTTACAGCTTGAGCCTAAGTGTGTCGCAGGATACCGTCTAGGTGATAGTTCTGGTTACTTTTTGATAAATAATTCGTTCTTATTGCGAAATGGGAGCACTATTTATCAATCTGTAATAAAAGACGTGAGGAAATTCTGTCTTTTTTAAAGACAAATATTTTTGAGGCGAAATACCCAAAAAGAAGTTTGTAAAAAATGAATCCGCTTCAACAATATAGAACTTATCTAAAAAAAGACATACTTGCAAATTACCAAAAATATGGTTTTAGGCTTTCAAACCCGTCAACAATATTTGTGAAACAACACAAGATAATCTTGCAACCCATATAATGTTCTAGAGCTTTACTGGCCCCATTGGCGCATTGATTCATAAAGTAACTAAAATGCGGTGACTTCTTTGTGATTGTGGAGTATTATATAAAATTTTCTGCATTGAAATATAGTAATCACCAATAAAAGTGGATGCTGTAATTTCAGCGTTAGGAAAAGTATTCTAGATCAAGGGCCAGCAAATCAAAATAATAGCGATGGGGGACTACCATATAATCCATTTAAAAAAGCTAATTACGCTGTGAAATACCGCATAAAACTAAGGCCAAATCTTCTCCATTATATCCACACAGTAACAGCATAGTCGAAAAAAATATTCAAAAAGCCAATGCTTTGGTAAGAGAAAAACATTAAAAAGGGAGAGGAAAACAACTGCAACACCATTTCTGTTTTAACATTGTTTTCTTGCGGCAGGAGATCTTCAAAATCGTTACCGACATTTTATCAGCCTCCAAGTCCTAAGTTTTCACTATTATTCGTGCGAGAAAATTAAAATAAAAAGTGCTATTAGCTTTCAGCGTAAACACTATCCTAGTTTAAATCAGCATTGAAGTTTTCAGTTCAGAAAAGTTCAATCATTAAATAATCTGAACGAAAGTATTGTGCGTCATATCCTCGTGAATTTCGAGGAATATCAACGAGATCGATCTCCTTTCGAAAAAAAAAGATAGAAAAGGAATTGCTCCAGGATCAACATACTCGGAAGACGGTAACTTCGTTAAAGCACCCATTAAGATTAACATCAAGCATTATTTTGCCACAAGTCCGTTACTTATCGTACAAATTGGGGACTCGTCAGTAGTTTGACTTTATAAAAAATATATTTGTTTTTCCAATTTCGTGTGTGCTAATGGAAGCTTGTAATATATTCTAATTTATTTGTACACACAAACCCCAATTCACCTTAAGCCAACAGTTAGATGCACAGTTTACGTGTACGGTTTACAATTAAGCCTTGAGATTAGACAACTGATTCAAACATTATAAAAGTAATTAAAAATAAATTGTCCACTTTTTACTAAGAACAGTAAACCAATAATTTTCGCTGAATAACTTTTTTCTGAATTAATTTTCAGTCCTGTATCTGTAATCCCGAATCCTAAAGAACATTGAGATATCTACATATCCTCCTGGAATACCCTGCATATTTCCTAATAGTATAGATATAGATAAATACAAGATAATTCAGTATCTTGCTACTGGTTGAAATTTGGTGCCAGATTGCGTATTATCACGCACTTAAACGCACAAAAAAAGTTTTCTTTGTACTCAAAAAGTATGAACACGTATGCGCTATTATTTACAGTAAATATCAATTGCAGAGAGGAGTCTGGATTATCTAGAACGGGATATTTATTTGGAGGATTACGAAATGATTTAAAACGAAAGGCACCGTGGTACTGGTCGGATTTTAAAGACGCTCTATCCTCCCAGTGTATAGCCAGTTGGATTTTTTTATATTTTGCCTGCCTTTCTCCCATTATTACCTTCGGTGGTCTGCTGGCAGAAGCTACAGGTAAACTACGGAAATTTGTAAATACAATAAACAACAAATCAGAATTCTTCATTTTCAGGGAACAACATGGCTGCTATGGAATCGCTGGTTTCCGGTTTTGTTTCCGGAATGGGTTACGGTTTCTTTTCAGGTCAACCGCTGACAATATTAGGATCAACTGGTAAGAATGAGCTACATATTTTTCCGATGCAATTTGTGGAAAAATAATTATGTTTCCTTATTGGGGGCATTTTAGGTCCTGTCTTAGTATTTGAATCGATTGTCTTTGACGTCTGTACTAAAATCGGTTGGGACTATTTGAGCTTTAGGTTCTGGATTGGGACATGGATTGCCGTAATTTTATTGGTTTTAGTTGCAATTGATGCTAGCGCGTTAGTTTGTTATATTACTAGATTTACCGAAGAGAACTTTGCTACTCTAATAGCGTTAATATTTATTTATAAGGTAAGTCATTTCAGCAATTAAAAATAAAGACGATTCGACTGATTATAAATCGAATGTTATATCAAAACCCCTCTAGCGCTGAATACTTTGCTATAACAATTTACTCGATTAAAGTAATAAGTCGAATTAAAAACTACATGTTCAATTCGCTTGAAGAAGAAGTATTTTTCATCAGTATCTGGTATTTTCAAATCATTCATCATAGATTGAAGAACACTCCTATAAATAATGATAATACCAGAAATTTCTTTCACCTAATTAAGCTTAGTCAAATTCTGCTTGTTAGTATCAAATGTTACTAATATTTTTAATCTCTAACTAGATTTCTCTTCATTTCTGAATGGTGCAAGAAAATATCACCTATATTATATTAAAATATTATTTAGATTATAAGTAATATATTTTCGAACGTTAAATATCACTTACTAATACATGAAGCAAGTTGAATATAATTCAGAGTTTACTGATCCACATCAGAAACACCGAAAAATGCATACATACATTTTTATCATCTATCTAGTCCTGTATCAAGTTTAAGATCGTGCTTTTTATTGGTAGGTTTAAAACATTGTATCACACATTGAACACATTGTTCAATTGTAAATAATATAACTTTTATTTTTATATTTTAGGCTGTGGAAAACGTGTTACTTATAGGCAAAAATTTTCCAATCAATACCTCAGGCTCTCTAGATATGTCAACCGATTGCTCTTGCTTTGTGAACTATTCTGAACCCACCATTTATAACGGGACGACATTTACTCAATCGACTTGTTCTGTAAGTATCAATTAAAACCGTTGTTTATAGTGAAATAAAATCATTATTTATCGACGTGTAATCAAATACGTGAAGATTTTTTTCCAAAAGACAGAATTTTTTTACTCAAAATATTTAACGGGACGCTTTTTCAAAATAGGAAGTTGGTTAACCAACTATCAAAGGGCATACTTAGTGACAAGTTTTTAAATTGTTAATTGAAACACGTAAAATGTGGAACAATCTCGAATAAGTGTAGATATTTCACTTTGTGTGGAACACTTCAAACAGCTGTCCATTCTACAAATGCATGTTTGAATGTTGGCGATAGTGCTTTGAGTGCAAACCTTAGAAAACAAAACTTCTGCGGGGCACATTTTTCATAGCGTTTTTCAAAAATAAATTTCTTAGAAGCGAAAGATACACTTCAAGTTCAGATTTGTGCGTGCACTGAAGAAGAGTGTTCTAAATGGCGTCAAAATCTCTTCAATTCTTCAACATTGTATTCAAATCACATAAAATCCTGAAATTTGTGCGTTTTGTAAATGTTGCTTTGAAAATGAACGCTTTTACGCAAGTGCAGACTCTTCAATAAAAAATTGGAACTAACAAAGTAAAGCCAGTGGAAACTTGAAAGATAGACATTCTGTAGAACACTTTTTTTAAATGAAATTTTGGCGTAAACTTACGGAAAAAATTTAACACTGTATGTCGGAAACGAATCATTTGGGGACACACGAATCATAAGCAAACTTTTATATCTTTTTCATGTAGAAGCACCCTCTGAACTTTGTCGCACTTATTTGAGAAAATAAGAAAAAATCATGATGTACAGAAACTTACAAATTTAAGACAACGAAATTGCTGAAGTAAAAAGATTAAGATCAATGGAAGAACATAAAGGAATATTTCAATTTGTCTTTCTGTAATTTGTTCAACTGTTCAAATGTGTTTCCGTTATATACTGGACCATAATGAAGCGTGTTTTTGAGCACTAGTTTTTGACCTTAATGGGACCCATTCAAGCATATCTACATGGTCAATCCATAGAAAAGTATGCACTGAAGCGTGTTAAAATTTTTGTTAATATTTGCCTTGTTAATGAATTAATATTAATACTAAGAATAAACTAGTAGGATTATGAAAAACTCTTAAATTTCTTCAATTTTTTAGCAAATGAATGGAACCCTTGTTGGTTCGGGTTGTTCCCATCCACCGTATGCGCCTGATATATTTTTAATGTCGGTGTTATTATTTTTGGGAACATTTTTAATATCGGTGATATTGAAAGATTTTAAAACTGCACTATTTTTTCCAACAAAGGTGAGTTACTTAATTATATTAACAAACATAAAAATTTATTTTGCAATTATTTTTCAGTTCCGTCAATTTATTAGTGATTTTGCAGTCATAATAGCAATAATTTCTATGACCTTTTTGGACATGTGGAGTAATATTCCGACGCCAAAATTACAGGTACGAATCATAATTTATCAATAATTTAACACTTAGCGAGTTTCAGTTATTTGACATACGATTTAAATATACAAAACACTTAAATGAGAGTATTTGAATGGTTTAGATCTATGATTCACATTTTAGGTGCCACATGAATTTAAGCCTACACTTCCGAACAGGGGCTGGGTAGTCCATCCATTCAGTCACAATCCAATTTACTCGATATTAGTCGCTCTTCCCCCTGCACTTTTGGGAACTATACTAATCTTTATGGATCAGCAAATCACCAGCGTTATTATTAATAGAAAGGAATATAAACTGAAAAAAGGCTGTGGATATCATTTGGACTTATTTGTTCTATCTGGGCTTATTCAATTATGTTCGGTAAATAATGTTTCTCAAGTTTTATATTTTATTAAGTACGTTAATTATTTGCAGGTGATGGGGCTACCATGGTTTGTAGCTGCTACAGTTCTATCAATTAATCACGTAAATTCGCTGAAACTGGAATCAGAGTGTGCCGCTCCGGGTGAAAAGCCCCAATTCTTGGGCGTTAGAGAGCAACGGTATTCTTTAGCTGTTATTCTCTGTTTTCTTTTCTCACAAGTGATTTTTAGTGTTACACATATCCTTATATTTTTGACAATCGGACTCTCCGTATTTCTTACACCGATGTTGGGCCATATTCCTATGCCAGTACTTTTCGGAGTGTTCCTATATATGGGAGTAGCATCTCTTAAAGGGCTGCAATTCTTCGATAGGATCCTGATAATGTTTATGCCCAGTAAATATCAGCCGGATTACATGTTCTTGAGACAGGTATACTTGAATGATAGTAAATATGTGCGGCATGTAGTTGTATAGAGTGTGAATTTGAGATCATTATTGAAAAAAACTGGACAGATTTAGCAGTTTTTGGAATTGCACATAACCAACGCGGAAAGAACTATTGAAATAGATAATCTAATAAAATTAACAAAAGTTGAGGAAGCATGTGTATACCAGAGTCTCATAGCTAATGAGTTTCCGACACAAACTGGTACTGGTACACTAAGATATAATTTAACATCTCATCTAAGCTTAGATTTACTGACCACTCTTATTCATAATACATTCATTCAACATAATACAATAATAATATAGTGTGCAAGATTTATTATTTATTATTATTAATTATATATCTACTTTGTTATGGTATTTTCAGGTCCCAATCAAGAAAGTTCATCTATTTACTATCATTCAATTGACCTGCTTAATTTGTCTGTGGGTCATCAAATCATTCAGTGCAACTTCCATTCTATTCCCCTTAATGTTAGTGGTGATGATTGGGATAAGAAAATCGTTGGATTTGATATTCACTAGACGCGAATTGAAGATTCTTGACGATGTTATGCCAGAAATGACGAAACGTCATCAGATGCTGAAAGACCAAGAGGTGGGCATTTGTGAAAAGGTGGGCATGTTTTTTTTAGGTGCCAAGCCGGCCAGAAAACCAAAACATGTTTATCAATCATGTGGAATTAACGAGAAAGAAACTATTGCTTGAGTAGAACTTTGACATCGCATGAAGTAGGTAAAAGAAAATATCCATACCTACTTTTGAGCAAGCCCAGTAAACAAATGCTCAAATTATTTTTAAAAGGACGTGACTCTCCTAAAGTACTCATATTTTGCGAAAAACCGTAGGGAAATTTTCTGTTACCGTCCATCATTAATTTGTTACTTCTTCATCATACATTTTTACAACCATCCATTGTTTTTTAGTTTTGTATAGTGTTAGATATATCTCAGTTACTGTTAATTTTTCATATATTAATTCGTTATTGTTTTTCATAAATAATACTTTAGATATCTATTTGTTTTCGATGTTTCTCGTGACTCACTTGATTGATATATTTAAAGTGTGTCTATACCTAGATATAGGAGAACTCAGATTATGTTAGACAAAGTGCAATATACTTATTAGTGATTAAAGATGTGTCAATGTTACCAAAAGATGTTTACTATTTAATGCGGGACATCATATTTTTAAACGCTTAGCATATACGTTAGGACAAGTCGAAAGTTGCATGTAACAGTATTAACCGAAATTTGCTCAACTCAGTGATCGGGTATTTGGAAATATTAAATATAATTATTAAACTGCCAACTATATGTTTGGATCGCATTTTCGCATTTTTAGCGAACACATTCCATCTTAATGATATTCTCTGGCAACTAAAAATATTTTATAACACTTTGAATATTTATACATTTGCTAATATCATGTGTTTATTTCCATTTCTAGCAAATTTACATATTAATATACTATATTAGGAAAAGACATGGTTTCCGATCTGCGGTGTGTGTTATAAAAACAAACTCATTTAGTACTAAGAATTTGTTATTATTATTGTTGAAGTAGTTTTAGGATGTCAACTGAAGGTAGTGATAAAGGTTTGTCATACAATTGAAATGTTTTTGCATCAAATTGGGTAGTACAAAAAAAGTCAAAAAGCCCGTTCTTTTTCAAACTGAACAAAACCTTGAAATAAAAATCTTATTTGAAATGCAATCAGTGGTGTATCATTTTTTTAATTAAAATTGTCGAGACACGTGCAAAATTGAAAAATTATCTTGCCTGTTTCGTTAAATACCAATCAGAGTGAGTAAATTTTATTAAAACGTTCCAAATGATTTTGGCAATACTAATAAATTAAAATTTCTAATTATTATTTATTAGTATTACAGTTCTAACGGATGTCTCTAAAAATATAGGCAAGACTTCGGACAGTATGTGAACATAACATGAACAAGTTCCTATAAAATAAAAATCTACAAACCCTTAATTCAAAAATATAAAATCCTAAAGGGAGCCACTGAAATTTGGTTTTTATTAAATAACTTTTAGTGTTTGGTATAATTTAATATTTTTAATACCCCGTACAATGGAAACACAGGAAGTCACACATCCACTACTATTAGTAGTACCTACCACCTCAAATCATTTATGAAAAAATGGTGAAAGTGGTAAATACCAAAGTCATTTATTATTGCTAAGATTTTTGAAAAAGCAAATTAAAATAAAAAAATGAAAAAGGTAAATTTCAAAATGTGCTGTAAATTTCGTTTCTTTAAATGGAGCACTTTTACAGAGATCGACATGATTTATTTTCCAAATTTCAGAAAAATATTGTATATTGCATAGATTTGTTTAAGCTGTTGTGCGAATAGCAATAAATGTAAAGAGCCTTCAAATACGGAAAACAGACAAACATTATAGAGAAAATAACGATTTTTATTAATACTTGAGGTTAAAAAAACCAAAAAAACCACAAGATTAAAATTAGACATTCTTTATATGACCTCCATTTAGCCCAAACATTTGTAAGAAAAAGCACACATACATGTTTGCTCAATGACAACAATTAGCTCTCAATTTCAGTTTTATATCAAATGTTTTGAATATGTTGGTTACCATTAACATTAATACTGTTAATTACATCCACAATTCTAAGGGGTAAATTATCAACAATTGCAACTGGACTTCATACGGTATATTCTTTAAATAACTCTGCAGAAAAAGATCAAGAGGCGTTAAGTCGGGGCTATTAGGGGGCGATGGGATAAGACCAGTTCGTTCAATTTTCAAAGCGTACTGATTTCAAGACTATCCTACCATGCGAACGCTGTGGGTTGGATAAGATATTTAATTCTTCATATTTATTAGCAAATATTTTTCCTTTTTTTTCTGATAGTTTGCGGTTTGAAATATCGATTATCTACATTTTAAAATGTGCTTCGAGATGGTACACGTCTCTGGGTATACAGGGCATTATATTCCTTTCTCGCGGCTAATGCATTTTATTTGATTTGATATTTTGATATACTTGTAATAAACGCAGACGATCGCATTTTTCACGCTAAGAATAAGACATATAAGATGGTATCGATATAATTTCAGTAAATTTTTTGACACTGAAATTCATGGCGGCAATTTTGGCACTACTTTGATTATGCTATTTATAATTCTTAAAAAGCAATATTAAGAAATAAAAAAAATATCTGTAAAAAGTTCTGCTTGGGCCAATTCCTAAAATGCAGTCATCAGATATTAATTTTTCGCATACAAAGTCGCATTTTCGAGATTTAACAGAAAAATAAATTCTGCTCAAGAACAAAGTACCTATCTACCTTTATTTTAGACAATATCGAAAAATGTGATTATGAAAAGTTCATAAGAGCTAAAAACTTCGTTCAAATACATACAATACCTGTGTGTAACTGTGAATGTAAAAGTGTTACTGTAGTTAAGTGAAATCCCCGATGCGCTAATAAAAAATCAAAATAATGCATCAGCGAGGTTAAAAGTCGTAAATGTTATCAAATATTTAAGGATTAACGAAATAACTTAATTAATAAGAAGTTTCGATATTTTAAAAAATAAATTAACTTTACTGTTGGGCAAGAGTCATATTTTATGGTAAACGTCGTATGCGTTGTATTGTCGATTTTAAAACATGTAGAACTTTTTATCAAAAGTAATTTTTATCGTAAAATTAATAATAAAAAAGGCTCAACCAAATAAAAAATAGTATTAAAAATAACAAAACTTGATGTTGATCACATATGGGTGCAATGAGATTTCTGATAGTACGACTCTCTCATCCGATCAACTTTCCTTAATAAAAATTTTCGATATTTTCAAAGAAAAAATGTCCTTTATTGTTGAGCAAATTCATATTTTCTGATATATGTATCTCGTATAAGACTGAGAAAAATTAGTATCTGATTATTGCATTTGAGGTTTTGGACCAATCAGCACTAAAGAATACCTTTTCTTGCAAAATTAATAATAACAAAGTTCTCCATATGGAGAAAACTTAAAAATAGACACACTGTATATATTTCTGAAATCATAAAAATAAAATTTTTACATTTACATCTTTCAATTTTTTATTTTAAATTCGTTTTTTGCAGACTTAAAATCTGAGTGATGATGAACAACTTTAGTATTTACCATTTTTCCACAATTTCTTGAAATAAATGATCTAGGGGGCTGTCAACTTATGAGGAAACACTCTGTACCTACCGAAAAATTAGGTACGAGTACCCCTTCCATATTGAAAACAACCATAGATGAGGACAGAAATAGATAGCCAACCCATATTTTTAGTTTTGTATTCCTTCTACCTATTAATATTGGATTATTTGAGACATTTATAAACGTATTCCTGTTTCAAATCCTTCGCGTTCGATGTTTTGTGGAGTTGGGTAATAAATCATTTGACAAACATTTCCTTTGATTGACAACAGAGGGTGAGAGGAGGAGACATTTAGAGGGTGTCGCACAACGTGTTATCAAACTTTTTTGGTTAGAAGTGCTCTTGCAGTTTGGATATTTTGTCACGGCGATTTGTACCATCAAACTCTGGCTGAAGCCCCTCAAGCGCCCTTAAGCTAGGTGTTGACAATTTACAAAGAATCGGAGATAATTCTTATGATGCCATATAAGTCAATTGAGCTACAAGTGAAACCAATGCAGTCCGAGAGTCACCGGTGTAAATTGTCTAATATATGGTGAGGCAGATTTGAGATTTGAAATTGGTGAGGGCTTAAAGATCATGCACAAAGTAGTAGTGGCTTAGACATTGAGCAAGATTTAATTCCCAGAATGAACTCCTTCAATTTGGGCATTTCATTATCAGCAAAAAATAGTAGTGTGGAAATGAAGAATTTTCCATGACAGAACCAAATACTATTAACTGAGTATGACAAAGATTGGTACAAATGGTGACGAATTGATGTCAATGATATGACCCTCTTTTGGGAGCAACTGGAAAAATCTGTCAAGGAAACCGCAGAAGTCTTCCAAAAGCCTTCTAATAAGCCAACTAAATGCTGTTGTTACACAATAAATACGTCAACATTTACTAAGAGTGTCAGTAAAAGCGTAGGAAAAGTGGTGATCCCCAATGGAATAAGATTGTGTGAAGTACAGGAAATTACATGATAATATCAAAAAGGACAATTCGATGACATGTTCGATGATACCGGTATGGGTTGTGTGCGAGTCCAGTCTAGCTGTTTATCCACTTAAACTCCTCCCTCACTGCCTTCACTGCGCTCAGCTCTGTCCTATTGTGCCCTCATCTCTTTCAGTAATTCATTATCAGTCTTAACTCAATGAATTTCAAAAGAATTTAGATGGTGGTAGGCGTAACTCTATTTAGTAGAACTTCGTCACCTCCCAGTAGTGTTCATCTTTCTGCTGCAGATGCAGTAGCACATTAGATGTAGGCTCGTTTTCTCCTCTAATTCGCATACTTTACAAGTTGTCTGATCTTGAAAATACATTTTATGCAGCGGGCGTGAAACTCTATAGACCACAAAACTTCCTATTTGTTGTCTGCTAAGTTCTAGATTGTGGATTCCCTACAATACATAAGCAGTTGCTCAGCTTCTTCGGGTACCTCCCATATTCTTACGAGATCCATCGCTCGGCTTCCGAAAACCGTAACATTTTACCGAGATCCGGGCCAAAGCTTTTAGTTCTTCTACACAGTCTAGCAATGGTCTAGCACACATTGGAGCTGATTGTGAACGATTTCAAATATTTCAGGCTTCACTTTCATTAACGATAGTGGCGAAGCTTTGTTCCCTCATTATTCGGGCGCGTGATGTTATTGCTCGTACGCCCGCATGGTAAGCGATAGTAAGTCTAATATTATTATTTTCCCAGATATTCCTGATTCACTCACCCCAGTGCTTTCTTCCGATGTTGACATGTGGCTTTTACATACCGGAATATCGGTCAGAGGCCGGTAAAATTATGATAAAATGATACCGAAATACTAACAATATTGAGTTTGTTAATCGTAATTTTTAGGGTGTATGTGACCCGAGTCACCATGTTGAAGGCACTTCTTAACTCGTTATAGTTAACTAACGAAATTCTTGATATCACTACAATAGAGGTTCATGCCGATGCCTACAGCAAATAACACGATACCAATTCTCGCGTAATAAAGCAATTGAAGCATGAATATTACTGTAAGGTATCATAGTCTACAGCGCTGTTTAATGCTCGAGGTTTGCCAGCAATCTATCTTTGATTGTGTAGCAGTCTGGACGTATTTTTATTTGATACTCAGCAACTTCGACTCTCGCTGTCGCTATTTGAACGAGTAAAGTAAGTTAGAATTATTTAAAGTTAGGTATAGGAAATGCAGCCTGTCCATTGAAGGTTCTAGGAAGCAATTTACTATAGGGAAAGCAACAGGGCAGTTTTAAAACAGTTTTAGTGTCTGCCTTTTTTTTTATCTTAACGTCAATTCTTAATATATTGAACAAACTCAAGCGTTATTATTATTTTTTGAATAGTTTAGTGACTGCAATACTGATATGTATAAGTCGTCACCATAATTTCTTAAGGATTACATCTAGGCGAGTCTATAAATCCCTATGGACAACATGTATTATTTTAATTTTTGCGTAATTGTTTAGATTTTCGTACAAATTTTGGGTTTTATATTTAAATTACATTGTGATATTTTTAAGTTATTAATAAGGGTAACTTATTATTAAAACTATACCACGAGTGGTAATTTCAAACCCAATTGAGACGAGGATTTCAGTTTTGAGCAGCTCCCACCCAATTCTTGATTAATTAATCGTAATAAATTTATATAATATATGTTTATATTTTCTCTTTGTACTGGTGGCCAAAAAAATGTTATGTAATGTGTGGTTTGTAATACATTAGAACTCGCTTTAAGTTTTCACAAAAGCATGTTTATCATCACATTTGTTTTCAACTTAGAGCACTTGCATATTCTGAAAATCCTGTGTATCCGTATGTCGTTGGCATTTATATGAGATGAAAACTTGCCGGCCGGTGTACTTTTAGTTAAGTATTCATACTTTAGTTTCTGTACTTTAGTTTGAACAGCATCAGTTCTGAATAAAAGAAGTACGTTTTTATAAGTTTAATGGCTCTATTCCACTTTTGAACAGTTGTAATTTTTCAGGCTATAGTTCCATCGTCTGAATTCGAAGTTTCAGATAAAAATCTAAAAATCCCCTTGGCAAATGGCAAGGTGATGAATATTCCATTTTCGGTAATGAATATTTCGGAGGAAGTTAATAAAACTGGGATCTGGAAGCAAGTCAACGAACATAACGCCAAAACTGAAGTAAAAAACGACGAGAAGAAAAAAAGCCCTAAAACTCCAAGGTTTTTAAAGTAAATGTTACATAATTATTTGCCTAAAGTTTGTTATGTTTATAGAGCAAAAAAGAAAAAAACATCAAAAAAAGAAGCAGAATTAAAACAGGCACTGACAAAGAAACTATCTATAATGAATGAAGAAGATGAAGATGAAGGAATAACAATTAAGGTGAATGACGTTGCACTTTATTTGTGAAAAATTTTATTTAGTTGCTAGACACTGCACCGCCATTTACGACAGCCACAAAACCACTTCAAACACAATGGAATCTGCACACCTGCTATATATACAACTACGCCCTGCAGAACTTTTACACACTTATAAGATACTTCATTCTTCATACTTTATCTTGATTCTTCTTGCATGTCTTGACGTAAGTATTATGTATTAGATTTTTGAATTGTTTTATATATAGGTACTTATTTTTTGTCGCAATATATTTTTATGTTGCATACGTCGCAACATTTTCCCGTGTGTTTTTCTTTGACAATTGTTTTTATACCACAGATTTTGAAATCAACGCATTGATTAAAATGTGTTTACCTAATTGAACGGTGAGTGTTATGGTTGTAATTATTGCTGCATGGGAGTTATAAAAGAATGTGTTCTATGTATTTGTCTATAAGGCAACATGTTAATGTTTGGTCATTTCTAGCATTTCATAAGACAGCAGCAATTTTGATTAAAAAATCAGTGGATTTGTTCGGGGTTCATGTACCTTTTTTTTTAAATCTTTGTTACTTACATATGTAATTGTGCATGCGCTGCTATTATTACACCATACTTAGAAGTTTTACTGGATCTCATAGGGTGAACTTAGTCATAGAGCACAAGCATAAAGGCTTTAAGACAAGCATAAAAAATAATAAAAGGACACTGAAATGTAGGGTCAATTTAATGACTTTCTGCTAGAACCATAAGAAACCCAAAGTTTATCTCTTACGGTGTTACAAATAAGTGTTGTAAATTAGTGATGGGAAAATCCAAGTCTAGATAACTTTTAGATATTTGCAACTTATAAGGTCTGTTATAAAACACTTGGCAGTTACTTTAATATTGTCCATAAAAAAATAATTTTCTATTAAGTTGACTGTTGACTAATCAAAAATATCTCGCCATTCGCCCACCCGATTTATATGAAATCCTCTACACATACGCACCAAAATATGCCCGGACAATTTTTAGAAAATTGACGGAATTTTTGAATTCCGCTAGGAATTCTGATTACTCCTTATTGAAAGCGCACTTTTTGTCGAATGAAAGTTATTGAGGCAATGCAAGTCAAAAAATCATTATTTTATGTATTTTACTTTAAAAATCTCCGATTTTTTTATTTTTCATCATTTTGTTTGAAATAAATCAGACAAATAATGTGTTGGAGATGTCAGTTAAGCCCTAATAATTTTTGACCTCCATTTGTTCAAAGGCTTTCAATGTTCCAAAGAAAATGCCTCCAAAAAGAAGAATTTTCAGTGGAATTTGAAAATCGCTTAAAATGTATATGGTTATATTACGAACAAAGTCCCATCAATTTTAGAAAACGAGGCAATTTGACAACACATATTCACACTTAGATCGGGCCCGAAGTTCATACAAATCGTGTGGTCCGAACGCGAGATATTTTGATGACTTTTAATTTTGTGGCTCACTGTATATTAAAAATGCGTTCTGTATGATAGTAATAATAAATAATATTTTAGTAGTATGTAGTAAATAATTTTGACGAAATTATATGCATCTGAGCTTATAGTGTGTAATGCTGGTTTTACACTACAACATTTTTCCAATCTATTGACCAATACATTAAGTATATGTTTCGATAGATGAATTGTACAATTTATTGCGGACTTAGAACTTGTTCAAAATTATTGCTACATTTTTTCACGAGATCATTTTTTATTTTCCAGTTGTACAATGTGTGCGTTTCTCGAAGTAAACTGACAAGAAAATAGGGGTGTCGTATTTTTTATCTCGAAAATCTATGTTATATGACTATTTTGAACAAATTAATTAGGAGCATTTCCGCTCTTCTTGATGAATTCTTATGAAAAGTAACGAATTTGTCTTACTTAGGTTGCTTACCAACACAGAACAGCAAAACTAAATTTGTGAAATGTATCTTGGTTTTGTTGCAATTTTACCAATTTATTGCGATAGAAGTGTAAAGTTCATGAATGCCCAGAGGATAATCTTCAGTATATTGGCCAATAAATTGGGAAAAGTTTGTAGTGTAAAACCGGCATAGTTTGGAGCATGGCCGACTAGTGGATATTTATGATAACGTTCAAAATCTCTAATATTGAAATCTAGGAAGCAAAGCGCATGAGTGTAATCACTATTATATTTGTGGCGATTTCACAGCAAAAGTACCACTGTCCACTACAACGTTACGCTGTAGTACTTTACAACAGTACTAGTAGTACTGTTGTACGCTGAATACGCTTACAAATACGTATGTAGGCCACATGCACCCATATGCCACGAAATTGGTACCCTAATGTCATCTGGGAAGTTAGCGTGGGATTCCAGTTAACTACGTACCAAATTCGGAAGTTAAATTTCGAACCGTTCCTTAAATATAGCTTGTGCCGTAAACATCTGTAATCGCATTTTTTCTTAAACAATTGACATATAGCAAAAACTAGAAGATATAAGTTAACGAAACTAGGGTTATCCAAACTTGCAATTCGAAGGCCAATTATAGTTTTTGTACACCCTGTGTAGCTAGAGGGCTAAAAGCGGCGCGACTCGTTATGATCGGAAATAAAATTTGCTGTTTCTAAAACAAATGTAAGTTAGAAAACTTACTGCACGGTCTACGAAAATCACAACTACTATCTTTTAGTGCCAGTAACAAAATGAAAACTTTAGTAAACTCAGCTGAAGTATTTTTCACATATTAATAAATAACCTGCTTCTTGCATCTCAAAAGCGCTTTAGTTTTTAGCACTCTGTATCTATATAAACATGCGCAAGAAATGTTTGCCTTAATGTTCCTTACCACCTCAAAAGCTCTGTGAAAGCAATTTAAAACATAATTTGTTTTCATTGTTAGGCAATTAGTGCATAGTTCTACTAGAAATTATTGTAATTTTCCATGGGGGATTGTGTTAGATTGTTTTAAAGCAGAGGTTTGAGTAAAAGACTTTGCTTTCTGTAATTAAGCAGCAATAATTTTTAAATGCATTTAATATTATCCATAAAAAGTATTATAAATATCAACGCCTTAGTAATTTTGCTTCAACCGTTTGCTTATAGGTATCTACAATATTTGCAACTAGCACTACAAAGCTTTAATAATAAAAATTAATTCTTATATAAGTTTTAATGAATATATATAATTTGTAGTGTGAGATAATATCAAAAGCCACTCATTGGAGAACTCCGAGGCCCCAGTCGGCAAAAGAACCTGACAAAGAATCATTTGTCTAGTTATAAAAAGCACATCTTTGAAATTCCTCAAGGACATAATAGTTGCTTAAGCCGAATGTATGCTGCGATATTTCATGGTTTGTGTGAAAACAAGTTAATCAACTTAACAATAAATAATTAATAACAAAGTCTATCACTTATTCTATGAAACTTGTGGCACGCAGAGCAGTGTTTGACTATGACCATAGTTTGTTAGATAGTTATTGTAATGAAATAAGCAATATCAATTACGTTAATAAATAATTGAAATTTTTTTACCATAATAGGCCTGGGTAGCACTGTGTTAAATTGCACTTTTGTGTTGTTGCCGCTCTATGAGTTAATGAGTCATAACTCATTTACGGATGACCGAGACTGGAATTTTAACTTAAAGAAATGGTTATGACATTTTTTATGACTAAGCTTTTACCATCAACGCACCTGCGTAATTGACGCACCAATCCATTTGCGCAGCCCTGCGCTAACTTCTAAAAATTCACCGAGCTACCTTTTCTGTAGAAGCGATTGCTTATTATTAAACAATATTTGGTCTAAAACGGAAAGAACCGGAAATTTTGATGAAACTTAAAAATTCTACAGTGCGATGAGGGTGGCGAGTTTTCCAAATTAATTTTTATAAGCTTTTCCTCTCTGGTTGCGTTTTTCAAGATGATCTTAATTCATTTCGGCAACAATTAAATAAAATTATCGGATTTTTGTGGCAAATTTAAAGCTTTGCGTAGATAGCATATTGCTTTACGGAGCCAGAACTATGAATAGCAAGGAGATGGGGCGACTGGAGGCGCTTGAGATGTGGTGCTATAAGAGAAACTTAAAAGTATCATGGATTGATCGAATCCCAAACTTGGATATACTTTAACATTTAAATAAAAGCACTGAAATCCTATGCACCATCAAGCGGAGCTATTGACCCTTCACTGGCTATTGCAGAGTCAATTAATATTTGGCACAATGGTTTCTAGGATTGGTCGCGGTGGCCCTATTAGAAAGTCTTCTAGACCGCCAGACCTCACGCCTTTAGACTATAAGTTATGGGGTTGGTTAAAAAATAAGATAGTCAAAATCAAATAGATACTAGCGATGCTTTAATTAGAAGCATTAAACATTCTGCACTCATTATTAAAGAGACACGCGTATCAATTAGAAGAGCCGCGCGCGTTTTCGGAAATGAAACAGAAAATATTAGGATACCAATAGCGGTATTTCTGAACATCTACTAAACTTACGATTTATTTAAAATAATGTTGGCAATTTTTGTTTAGCAATATTATTATTTTATTTAATGCTGTAACTTGAAAAAATATGAATATTAAATAACAACATTTGAGTCCTTTTGGATGTACTATTTGACGCTAAACCAGGCTTTAAGATACTCAAACAAAGCTAAAAATAGTTCGTTATGGTTTAGGATCGAATGAAGCCCACACAAGCTGCTAATTTGGTATTACAATAACTCGGGTTTCTACAGAAAAGTAGCAAAGCCAGCTGCAACGAAAGCATGTAATGTTTCAGAGATTTGTGAGGATTGATTTGAAACAAGGTTCGAGGCAATAGTCACGGAGAGCGCGTTGCTGTTGCATTTGAACCCGACAAAACAGAAATATGAACGCCTCTAAAACACTCTAAACTAAAATAAATATACTACCAGTGTTAATAACATGTTTCCATATCTTACTACAACATTTTTCTTTTAGTGAACGGCAGGCAGCAATGTTCCGATTAAAAAATGTGGAACTTTGGACAACATTGCTTCACAGGTAGCACAATATCTGCGTTACTAGTGTTTTGGTGCCGCAGCAGCTTAATTCTGTTACTGAGTCGGATACTGTTGAGTCGTAGCTTAATGATGAGGCACTTTCATTCTAAATAACGAACCTAATAAAAAAATGTTTGCCCTGTTCAGTGTAACAATGTCATTTACCTTCTGCTGCTTCGAATGGTCTTGGTTGCTTCAAGGGTTATATGTTGAGTTTTGTTGTATTTTGTTTGAACGCCTAGTATCGACTCTCTTTCCGTCAATCTTTCCTATATTAATGAAATGCTGCTTTGGATTTTCATCAATTTTTTATAGTATACTTGTTTTCTTATTTTACTGTTGATCCTGGTTTCAGCTTTTATTAGCTTTAAATCTGTGCAATTCCTTTCCCGTTAATTCTTTAAAATACTATTTTCGTACTGCAATTTCTCTAGGAAGAACCTCAAAATACATCAGCTAGAAGATGGATGAGGATGTTTTGAAGCAATTTTTTAATCTCTCGGCTTTCTATTCATATGAACAGTGACAACCTAAAACTGGTTTGTTTTTTGCTGCTCGTGTCTGCTTAAATGGTAAATTTGTGATTGTTTCGTGAATATTATATTGAGTCCACTTTTCCCCACTTTTTCGCACTTTTTTACAAGTTATAAATATCCGATGATCTCTAGTTATTAACACAGTTTCCCTGTACTTCTTCTCACACTCATTTTCACCTTAAATCTTTCTTAATAGGCACCTAAGTGTTATAAATATTTATGTATTATGAATATGTACCTAGGTACCTAAGATAAAAGGAAATTTGAATTTGTGTTTTATAGACATCGTTTAATTTTTTTAAAGAAAAATATAGACTATACGTAGCTGCTGAAATCCTTTTTAATAGTTTTTGTAGTACCTAATAATGTTTCTGGCTATCTCTCTTCATATTTATTATATGAATTTGACTGAAAAGTAGGTAAGTCTAAAAAGGCAAAAAAATTGCATACATTTTCGCAAATTTAATAATTTCATACACTTTTTGTTATCAATCGCGCATTGCTGTTACGACTATTATCAAGAAATGGGCACATAAGAAAACAAGAAAATTATTTCTGCTCCTGGTCTAGAAAGGCAACAACAAACAGTAATTTTGGGTTTAGGCTTTAGACCGTATATATATTCGCAGCATAATGTGGTAACATCATTTTATTATTACTTAGAAATAGTTCAACAAATTAAAGTGAAAACATATATATTTGTATTTTGCACCTATAAAATAAAAATTATTTTTGTTTCAATTTTGAACTCTCGCAGAATATTACACATATATTCTAAACGTAGAAGTAACGTTGTTAGTTAAGGTTTTGAGATGATGAGTTTTTGTGTTATTTCGTTAAAAATATACTGTATATATGTTGTAGTCTGATATAGTTGTAATTAAGATATATTAGGTACTATATTAATAAAATATCCAAATAGTTCCAAAATTCTAAAACATAATTGTAATAACTTTCGATTAATGTCCGTAAATTTAGATACATATTCTATTTTCGGACAAATTGAGCAGTAAATGTAGTTTATATTATATATTAATAAAAATCATTAAATTATTTGGCAGTAATTTTTTTTTAAACCTTTGCCTAGTTGAAAGCCTAATTTAAGTTTCTATCGAAAACATTCAAAATTCGTTAGTTTCACAAAACCAAATTGATGATAATCGAAGAAAGTAAGCCGTGTTTGTTTAGAGCAGTGTTAATGTCCTCATATACCAGGTCTATCTCTTCATCGTCATGATCTGTCGTAGGCGCGTATACGTGGCTCAATATTGTATCTGGTATTGAGCTTTAGAATCAAAGAGATAACTCGTGTTGATATTTTGTTTAAAGATACGATGCTTGATTTGTTTTGCTTGTGTATGAGAAATTCTGTTCCTCCCAAGAGGCTCTATTCCTCACTCACGTTATAGAATATGTGCTGATCTTTAAGGTCTATGAGATGTTCGCCTTGCATTTTTACTTCACTCAGTCCGACAACGTTCCATTTTATGTGCTCCATCTCGCCTTCTAGTTCCATTAATCTTTCATTTGTTGACAGTAATCGGGTATTGTAGTTTGCAACTTGTAGTATTTTGTTGTTGGTATATTTGGTTGGGCTCATTGCCACATCTTTGCCCCGCGGCATTCCTCTATACGCCACCTGAGGATGAGTCCTCTAGGGATTACAGGTAATCCCAATATTTGAACGACATTTCGTTATCAGGTGTATTGTTGAACTAAAGTTGTAGGGTGAGCTAAATTAAATTTCTTTACTAAAAAGTAAAAAAGTATACAGAATTTCGTTCTGATTCAGAACCGCGACGTCCTATTTTTCAAAAGTTGACCATATTTGAAATAGTCAAATCTATGTAAATCATGTTTTTTTAGGCAAATTGTAGTATAAAGTCTGGAGTAAATAATAAATGACAAAATTATTAAAAGGCAATTTTACATTTATAATTTATGGGAAAATTGATGCTCTGCATTAGGTAACCCCTGTTGTGTTTGAAGGACACTGAACAAATGATTTACCTTGCTATCCGCTTGCAGTATTAATAATTCATTGTTCAGTTTGAAAAAATTGCATGACCTCCATAAATTATTCACTTATACTATAGTCAATATTAAGACAGAGAAATTAATGTATAATTAATGTCTGACTTGAGACAACTCTAAGCGGTACTTTTGCATCAAACAATTACATTAAAAGTTAAGCTATTGACAAATCCATCAATATATTTATGAATGTAATGTGATATTTCACGTAATATGTTTGTTACAATTCATTAGGACTCAAAATCAAATATTTACAGAAATATAACTTGAAATAAATTGATTTTAAGAACGGCTGTACTGATTCACACGAGTATTGATTGTGAATTCTAAATTGATGCTTTAAATGTATCAAATGCTGTTTAAAGCTATGTTTCAAACAGAATAATATAATTTTTAGCCGTTTGCATGACTGAAGTTGTGCAGCAATTAACTATTTGTAAAAAACCATAACTTTGCATTTAAAATTTGAAACTTTAAATTTTGCATTAATTAAGTTAAAAATTTTGGGTGACATTCATGCCTTGGTTTGGTAGATTATCCAAATTTTAATACTTTTGAATATACAGTAGGTATAGTTTCGTCAAGTATGTAATCTGGGGACACTACCAACCTGCTAATTTCCACAAACTGTTCGCAGTATCTCGTCCAACTGATGTTCTTTTCAAGTCAACTTGTTCAACCCTCGCTTTTATTTAAATATCACTTGATCCCCATCCGGTTTTCGGTCAGTTAATGGTAGTGCACTTATTTTAGTAAGTGGTGAGAAAATTCGCTTTCGGTTCGCAAATTGGTACCCAATTTTTGTTTGTCTATTTACAAATGGAACGTAAGCCCAAACGAAGTCACATTCAAGTTTCTTACAGCAGCATGTGGTCAATATTACACATAGGGAGGAACCTACACTATAAATACTCGTATTTATAGATAAACAAATAATTTATGCATTTAGATGTCCCCTATGCTATATGGTTCTATTGGTCTATTAACAATTGTTTTCATTTTCATTTGAACTTATTTCGATTGCTTATTGCCGTTTTGTTGTTGTTCCGTTTATTTAATATGTTTATGCCTAAATACCGAGTTTTTTTTCATACAGTATTAGTGTATGCATTGGATATGTCCTATTAAGTTTACGAGTGTAATTATGGATAAATTTAATAATTGATTCGTTTTTTTATACAAACGTCGTAGAATTACGTCATAAAATTGTATTTTTCGAGTCACAAAGAGACACTCTGTAATGAAAAGAAACGAAGTCTTCAAAACAAAACTGTGCTTGTTACGCGTTGAACAGGGTGTTTAAAATTCGGGCTTACCGATTTATATCAAAATTGTAAACATTTTTTCAGTTAAACACCTGTTAACATCAAATAACAGGAAAAATATTCGAATGCTTTTATACTATTTGTTTATTTGCAATAGTAATATTTAGAAAAGCAGATAGAAACAAACTGTCATGATCAAACATGACGATATTAAATTTTCATAATCGGTATATAATATAAAAGGGATCGAAATAAGCATTCAATTAAAGTTTTAATAAAATAGTTTATTTATATAAAATTAATTACAGACAGTGTAACACAAAAATGCAAAGTTCAATAAAATATTTCCTATATCCCAATAAATAACTAAGGGACAAACGAAATTTTGTGCTACTACGAAATAATTTCATTTGTCATGGCTCAGTTTGGAAAGGCACTTATGTAGCGAAGCCTGTAATTTCTGATTGAAAAAAAAACTAAGTTGAAGGCAACAGATGTGGGACAATGATCAAAACGCCACTATTTAATTATTTGCCGACGTTTCGACCTTTATTGGAGTCTTCTTCAAGGCTCAAATTATGTCTGAACGTTATAGACTAGCGGATTCATTATAGTGAATGCATCCCCATGGCAAGGCACTAGTTATCTTTAAATTCGTAATTATACATAATATCAGTCTGAAGTATAGAATTTACCGCACTAACACTGGAGGTCGCACATAACCAGATGACCCAAAGAGAAAAGACATTGTTGTATTAAAAAAAGCTTCATAAATGTCAATAATTGTGCTGTTGGTTTTCATCACGAGTACAGATGATGGTTTATGCAAATAATGAGAGCATTTTCAAAAATAAGCAAAAAAAAGCAGTTATCACGTGTTTGCCTTCTGATCCCCTCCTGAAATCTGTGAAGGTGTCTAGGGAGTAGAGAAAAAGTAGTAAAATAGACTAGTTCTTTAAAAATGAAATTTTCTCAGTTTTGCTGTATTTGATACTTTGCACACTTAAAATTAAAGGAACTTACGGAAACGGAATGCTAATGTACCTAAAGCAACCATACATCAATGGCCGCTATTTTGCTTATTAACTCATAATCAAGTACGAGTATTACATTTAAAGACGCTTCATACAATGCATTATGTGGCTTTACTAAGACACAAAGTCCCGTCCCTTAAGACGGAAAATATAAATTTAATGCAAATTTACCAGTGAAATCTACCTAATAAAAAATTGCGGCAATTGTTGAATTATGAAAATGCATTTAAAAAAGTTATACTTTCTTTAAGTAATAAATTTTAGCTGAATTGGACCCAATAACTCTATATTATAATTTACTGTTCATTTATAAGGTCTACTTGGAGAATTTCATGGTATCAGGTATACCATGATTACTGATTACTGGTCCTGCTCGCTTCTCAGTTATCCATAAGAAGCTAACGCAGAAGCGAAAACTTTACACATTGAATTAAATCCCCACTGCTCTAATTCGGAACTTAAATGTTTCAAAAGTTCTGGGTCGCACCACATCTAATTCCTTTTTTCGGCCCATTTAAGATCGTCAGCTCTAGGTTTATATCCAGTAGTCAACTCTATAAGATACTCCAAAGCGCTCCAAAATCGGAGCTTTTCCATTGGCCAATTTAACCATCCCGTAGTGATGCAGAAATAGGTTTCATGTGGTGCAACGTGATGTATTCTATGGTGGCGTCTAGGTAGAATTATATGCCAGTCTTGAAGAAAAACCACCCACAACGGCAGACTGAAGTAAGTGTGCGACCATTTATGAATCTGCAATAAGAATTCCTTTTTAATAAGATATTAGTAGAGCAACAATTTTCATGGGTTGATAAGAAATACTGGTAGAGAACCGTACCACCTCAAAAATCTACTTGAAGTTCACAGTTGAAATATTATTGACAATAATTTACTGACTTTACTCAGTAGTAAAAGAATGGCCCAAACCACAACTTTTGGACTAACCGATAGAGAGAGCGATTTTGGACTTAGTCCTCATCAGCTAGGCTCCACTTGCAAAGGACATCTCAAAAATTTATTGTCATGGGATATTATGGAAAAGAAGACGTGCTTGTTTCAATTAATGTTAGCAATAAAATGAAATACTATAAAATTAATTTAAATTTTGCTGGCGCCCATGTAAATAAGCTTAAGAAAAATGTCGCAAATACTGTTCATGTTTGGCAATATGCCACCACAAACCTAATTTGGGTCTATTCGATTCATTTTGAAGCATATTGCCTGAAAAAACACCGCGACCACAAAAGCAATAAAAATAATTGAATAAACGTAACTTTGACCAGGGGAGGATCCAGCTTTCAAGTCATGGTGGACATTCAGTCCTTTATTGTCTATGAAATTAGAAAAATTATCATTAGTCGACATAAACCCAGCGTAATAAATCACAAAAATTTTTGTTAGATAAAAAGAAAATGTCTGTAAGCTTTTTATCAGATTTACGTAGGTACACACATTATTGTTATTATAGGCAATTTTTCGACACAAAAAAGAGGAAAAGTTTTTAGAAATTTTCCATGAATTTCAATTAGCGAAGTGAATAAATATCAAACATGCACATAGCACTCTCGTGCTATTTGTTTCTGGAATTTTCATTAATTTATGTTTTAAAAGCTACGCCATCATAACTAATTTTTTTAAATGTAAATTAATACAATTATTATTTCCCATTGCCCACCGAGTGGTTTTTATTATGAATCGTTATTAATTATTTTTATAAGTTCCATTCGCACCTGGATGTAAGTGTGAACTTTGTAGGGTTGTTTAAGTAAATCATATTAAACGACACAAATCTCAGTTTATATTGAAAAATGTCTATTAATCGACAATTGTCGAGTTTAATGTTAAAACTTATTTGGTTGAGTGGCAAATCGAATGTAAGTTGTGTAAGTCGGTCAGGGTTTAAGTTAAAAAATTCCTTATTCCTTTCCTCCAAAAGATTTTTAAATTGATATTTATATCTTAGGTACTCACTTGATTTGTCATAGCCACAAAAATGGCCAATAAAAATACGTAACAGTTCCATGCGAATTTTTTCTGGACGTCGTCTTCCGGTAAGGTGAGAAAATCCCATACCATTCGTCCCAAAAATGGGATGGTTACCATGAAGTTATCGCCGTTTGTTTCAATGAAATCGTGACGAGTTATCGACGTAGGATCGATATGATGTTCACGAAATGGACGGAGAAAATTCTGAAATCAATCCACTTTTACTTTTTGAAAATTTAAAACCTTAATGTTGAATACATCGAGGTCCGGGTATAACAAAAAAATTTGCGGGCATTTTAAATTCCGACTATAGTTAGAAACCTTCGGTCGTTGCCAGCCTAGACTTTATCTTCAAGCATGTTAGTCGCCAAGTTCTCAAACTTTAATTATTTTAATAATAAAGTTAATATCGGAATAGTAAGGTGGCAAAAACTTGCATATAAAATAATTGTATCAAGAAATATGTAGTTCCCAATTTGCTTCAAACTGAGTATTGCAAACATCAGGTTATCCCGGCAAACATTTTTCCGTTACGCTGATAATGTAGTCTTTTATTGATTTATGTATTTGAACATATCGAAATTTATAATCTAACAATTATTTTTCATCCAGTTCTTCAGTTTTCTTTTTTGAGAGATTTGGCAGATGGATAAAAACGTTACTGACTCTTATATTTATCTTTATTACTGACTTTCAAAATGTGTTTAGGAATAATAATGTCATGATTTTTATTTTTGAGATCCTAGTGGTGATAACTTAGGAATTCATAGGCGAACAATTGTTACAAATTCATCGGGTTGTTTTCAACAGAAAAATTATTTTTATTTACAATTTGATGTATTGTAGCTATATTGTTCATGTTTATTAGCATGTTTTTACTCTCAATAATATTTATTTTTACTTTTTGGTATTTATTATTAAGGTAACTAGTTATGAGATCCAGTGCTTGATCTCTAATGTCAATACAATATAATTTGTCCAGCAAAATTTAATGATCAATAGTATCGAAGGCCTTGGGCAAATCTAGAAAGGCCACGAGAATTGTTTTACTCTTATCCAAAGCATTATACAGTATATTTGACAGGTAGTTTAAAGCATTTTTAGTGCCAATGGTTTACGTGAAACCAAACTGGTGTTCAGATATTACATCGTGCATTTTTTAAAAACTAATAATTCTATTATATCTCTCAAAGATTTTATAATATTGGATACCAACGTTTTGCTTTGGTCTATAATAGATACATTATTGTGTTTTCCCCTGACTTATACAGGGTTTTTTGTATAATATTAACTTTCAACTTTCAATTTATTTTTCAATTAACTTTTCACCAGATTAACAATAACACAACTTTTTTAGCTACCAAACTCACTGTGATTTATTTTTCCGCTTTCTGCAGGGCTGGAAGGGTAAAAACAGTAATCAAGTTTTGCAACATTCAACATTGCAAATTGTACATCTTAGTGCAAAAACTGCGTTGATGTTTCGCTTAGTTTAGGGACTCATGTGAAATCAACTCTATCCTAGTTTTCAATCCTATCACTATTTGTTGATTTTGGTACCTTCCAGAGTTAGTTCATTTGTTATAGTATATACAGGATAGGATGATTTCTTGTGTGGGATTTCTAATTACTAAGATGCCAGAAAGGAAACGAATTAATGGCTTCAGACTATTGCAGCTAGCGCTCTCTAGCAACTACAAGCTAGGTTATAGGGGATTAGGAGTTGTCGATCTAAAAAACCCTCAAACACATTTTTCTTGGTAGTAGTAAAACAGGTTTAGAATTCATAAAAAAAAATTTAGTTACGCTTTGACTACTCGGAATGTATCAACTTTTCGATCAAACAAATTTGCAAGGATCGCAATATTTTTACGTAGACAACGTCATTGAATTTCGTCACATTAGTTGAGACCACCCTGTACATGTCTCTGTGTAATATAAAGTTAATTTATTTTCGCGACTTACCTGCGAGTCCACTTATTTTTCAAAATCAATTTAATACAATTCTATTTCTACCAGAGTAAAGTTCAGGCTTTGGTTGTGTTCATTTCTATAAATAAGGCAAAAGGCATCGTCAACACGAAGGGGTAATAAAAACTAACATAACTATACTAATTATTGTCTTATACGGAAATTGACTCGGCAGTAAAAAAAGTCGATTTTAACTTTTAACCCTGTTTCTATTTTTACTGTTGCAAGTATGTGAGCTACATGCACGAAAAACGGTTTTGGTTATCTAAGGTGTGTCCCATTTAATCGGGGTTAGGGGAGCGTTGAAGTATATCGGGTTAGACGATATTGTGTGAATGTCACTGTGTGTTATTTTAGGAAATTACTATTGTTCATTAACACTGTTCAATCGAAAAGTTTTGCAGATATCATCGTACCATTGACTGAAACATTCGAATAAAAAAAACTGCGTTCTAAGCCAGTAAAAGCATAGCTTATATGTTCTGATATATACGCTGTAGTAAAGGTCTCATAAGACCTCGGAATAAACCATTTATCGGGAAATTAGTATTAAACCATACAATTAAACCTAACCAATATTCTTAAAACCTGCTACACGCAATAAAGTATAGCCAATCACAGGGGATGTAAACGTGTATTATAATGTGTATAAATCCGGGTTGTGGTTTAGTTGAACCCTTGAATAAAATATATTGTGATTGGATTTTCTTCAGTGTGTACACACCAGCATCCTTTTTTTCCAATAAAGTATAAGATTACAGAAAAAAATTCAACGAAGCACATCTTAGGCATAGATTGCGAAATATAAAGATCTATTGCATGTAGTATCTAACAAAAAATTTACCAAGAACCTTATACTAAGGTTTCTAAAACTTTCTTAATTGGCTAATGTTAAGTTGCAAATTATCAAGAAATAAAAGGAATTGAATAAACATCAAGATGGTTATAAAGCTGGTTAGTCCACATTTTTAAATTAGAAAATCAATTCTGAAATGTCTCAAAGAGGGCGGACGGTCATTAGCCATATTTTTAGATTTGCCAAAGGTCAACGATTCTATTGACAAAGACTTATTAAAAATAGTAATAATGTGGCTTTAGGTGTTTTGTTTGTTTGAGTCTTAATTGTCACGCAAGATATAAAAATCAAGCAAAATAGTATGAGTAGGTATAGCACAGGAAAGTATCGCCGGGCATATATATTTTTTAATGTTTGTCAATTGTATGCATTCCAAAGCATTTCAACATGGTTAAGATTTAAATGCTATGCCACAAAATTAATCGCAGCACGAAACGCTCTTACTAAAACTCTCGATAGGGGAGAGGATAATTTCAGCTGGACATATGAGTGGTTTAAGGTAACGAAGTAATAATAGCAGTATAAGATCGGCAGTTTTTACTGTAATCCAGTGTACAACTCGAATACCAAGTTATACTTAGTTAGTCTCAAAGCCAGAGGAAAATGTACAACAACCAAAGCCCAAAAAATTACATATTTTATTAATTTTTTTAAGCTTACATTTTCGTTTGGAGTAAAGTTTATGGTTTAAAAATAGTCAAATGAAAAATACGTTTCAAGTTCACAAAATTCTCACGTCATTAAAGAAATGGGGATGTTGAGAACTCAAGTTTTAAAAGAAGGACTATATTTTCACAGACGCCCGATCTAAGAAACCGTAAGCTTTATACAATCAGGCGCTAATAGCATAAAAATATATAGGTTATTCCATTTTTAAAACGGCAGCTATGGATTGAATGAACTCATTGGGACACTATGGAAATTCCTCAATAGTTTTATAATGTACGCTACAGAAGGGCGCCCTTTATCCATCAAATTACACTCTTTAAAAATCAAATACCTTAACTACAATATTCCATATCGTTTAACCTGAATAACCCTGTATATATGAAACATTAATCTATGTTTTCAAAAATAGAAGCCATTTTGAGTCACGCTATTGCCATATCTATAATACAAGAACATAAAGTATGCGTTAGCTGAAACATGGACAGACGTTGGCGGATAATAGTAGATGTTATAAAGAGTGGGTTTTTTAAGTATAAATGTTAATATGTCCAAACGTCAACGAAAAAATCAAACTTAGCAAGATAATTCAGATTATCAGTAACTCACTACCCGCTCCAAATGCACTCTAGGAAACCCCACTAATTTTCTTAATAGAACTGATTTTAACAGCAATTCAAATTTTAGGAATCGTCAGCCATAAGCATAAGTTTATTTATAACATTTATAAGTCATCAGTTTATTTTATTTTTATTTATTTCACTTATAGATTCTCCCACAAACACACTTAAGTTGTAAGTAGAAGCAAGACGAAGAATCTTTAACAAAAGCTTATTTAGACTAAACTATCACAATAATTATACAATTACACACACAGAAGGCAAATTAAGTACGTTGAAAGAGAGTGGCATAGAATCAGATATGATGCACATTCTGATGCTCCAGATTTTTTTTTTCATTTAGTAATCCCCATATTAAATATACCAATCATAGGGTTGATAGTGTAGAGCCCTTTACACAACGCTGCTATTTTAGCAAATGGTGAACTTACCTTTGGTACTCTGTCCTCTGAATTTGATACTATTTATGAAATCATAGTTGGCATATTTAAGACTGTTGGCAGTCTGTGAACATTTCTCGTGTCATACAAGAGACTTGTCTGAGCTCTTAAGTATAAGTGATCATAAATCGAGACGATTTGTTTTATTTGAGATTCAGGAAACGCAAGAATTTCGTTTGACCTTTCATTACTGCGGGTCACTCATTCGGGAGGTCCACATGATGTCTACTTTGAGGTTGGCGATGATTATTGCTAGGGTGTTACTATTCGTTATAGTCCCCCTAATCTTTACTTATCCAGTCGCCTATGTCTCGAAGCCCTGATTTCTTCTTCTTTCCAATGCCTCGTTTCCTTTCGATTTTCTCTTCAAGGATTAACTAAAGTTGCTCGTAGTATTAATGTCTCATTATATCCCGGTTTAGAATGTTTCGTTATTTTTGTTGTTCTCTGCATTTGCTGTTATAATGTACCAGCTTACAAGTCGGATTCACATATAAAGCCACATTTCGAATGGCTTCCAATTTTAGCAATTCTTCTTGTTTTATGATCCAAGTTTTACAACATTACGATAACAAATTCTTAGCAAAGCAATACTTTAGTGCTTTTTGTCTTACTTCAATGCACAAACGAGGGTTGCAGAATACCCTTTGT